CAGCTGGAGGGCTGCCCTGCCCTCTCCTAGGTCTGACTTGCTCAAGCAGTACATTCACAACCGATGTTCTCTCACACTCCCTTCCAATATCTGTTGTCCTCCCAGTGCTTTCACTAAGACTCCCCAGCTACTGCTGTTCCCAGGCATAGTCTGGATCCAGGCCCTTGCTGGCACATCCAGGTAGTTAGCTTGAAGGAAGCAGCCAACCCTTCCCATAGTTTTGGTGCTGTTATGGACCTCAGTGTGTTTATAAGAACAGGAACAGGCAGTGGAAGTGCAGCTCACAAGAGCAGAAGTGCATTGAGTAACCCCACCGTAAGGAAGCCAGTCTACCTTTGTCACGTGTCTCTGATCTAACACAACAAGTGTGGTGAGGTGGGCTAAAAATCAGTCAGGGCAGGAAAAGGCACTTCTGAACTTAAGGTAAAACAATGACCTTTCCTGTTAAGAGTCAGTGGAGATGAAAGTGTTTTGGGGTTTCAAATAAGAAAAAGACACAGGAAAAATCCATTGGGGACTATTATATTCAGAGCTGCTGGTGGTGTGGCAACCCCTGAACTACCAATTGTCCAGGCTAGAATATTCTTTAGGAGAAATAGCCTCATATGCTTGCCCTGTTCTTCTACTCTTCCCTTGGGATCTGGTGTTGGGGACAGAATATTAAGCTGAAGGTATTTTGATCTGAGCCTGTGTGACCTTTGTTGTAGTCTTGCACTTAGGTTCAAGTGTGTGCGTCTTTCTGTACATTAGAATGAACTTGTCAAGGCCTTTGGCAAGTGCTGAGTTAGATCTGTGTTGCTGGTTGGTGATCTTCCTCCCCTGAAGGAAATTGTGTCTACCAGCTGCAGGGCTCGAGGCAAGGGCAAGCAGCCAAAGCATCCGAATTTGCTTGAATCAGACTGGACTATTGAATGATTGTGCCCTTTGCCTGTTAGGCAGCACTTACAGGGTACTTTTATTTCTTGAACTGGAAGCTGGAGTATTCATTTGCTGTGTCTGTGGCAACTACCACCAGCTTCTTTTAGAAACCCTGTCTTTCCTTTTTTTAAAAAAATAACAAAATAAAAAGTGGTTCCAGCACATCTTCCTCATTGTGGCATGTCTGCCTCTCTCATTTCAGTCTTGTTGGAAATTTTTCTACAGCTGTGGGCTGGGCATGGCCATTTCCAATACTGATCTTAAAAACAACACCAAAGACCTCACTGAAGTCATTACATGGGTAGCGGTGCTAAAAACTTGTCTCTGCTAGCTCACAGGTCATAAGTCATTTTTCTCATTTCTGGTGCTAAGGAGCCTGCAGGTGGAGGCACCAGGTTGTCCTCTTCTCCCAGGGCACGGTGTTATATTACTGCTGATACTCAGTAGTACAGTGTCCTAGTACAGTCTTGGCTCATAGTTGTCTCTGCCAAGCATGAGCAGTGCTGGGCCCTGAGGGGTCAGTTCTCCATCAGGGGAATAGGAATGATGCTGGGGGAACAAGCACGTGCTGGACAGTATATAGGACGGAAACCTGCTAGCTGCTGTCACTAGGATTTTTCTTGAAGCAATGGAGAGTGATCCCAGAGCTGCAGCTACGTTTCAATGCGCCTTCTCTACTATCTTTCTTTTGAGTCAGCAGCATATGTCTTCATTTGTGTCTTTCAGCAAATAAAAATGGGCTGTGGAGTCTATTTATACATTCAGCTGAGTTCAGCAGTTTGCTCTAGCTGAAGAAAAGTTTGGGGGAGTAGGGGAGAGACAGAAAAAATGTTGGGATTTTTCTTTGATTTAAAACTGGAAGATTTTACAATATGGGGGAGGCTTGGGAGAGAAGAGTTTTCTACGGCGATGGCCATTACCTGGCGCAGGGTGCTATAGACTTCTCCAGCCTTCTCCCCATTGCTTCTGTTTACTCATCGTGCTTATTCTCTTCACCTTCTTTTGTGCCTGTCGCGACTGTGCCGAAGTGACAACACAGCCAGTACCTCCCCACCACTGCCTAGTTTCTCCCTGGAACAGACCTTCTCTCAAGCACAGGAAGCAAGAGAAAGGGTTTTTCCATTACATTTTGTAACCTCTGAGGGTTTGAGATCAGAAGAGCTGGGTGGCTGCCAGGGACCGCATTTCTGCAGTCAGGAAGAGCCGTTCTCACTGGTGCTGGGGGACGTGAGCACACGGGGCCCTGCTGGGCTGCCCATTGCAGCCGTGCCGCCGCCTCCAGTTTGGCAGATCTGGAATCGGCTGCGCAGTGGTTTTGCCACAGATGCTCTGGCAAGAGGCCCCTGCGCCAGGGCTGCTGCTTGCCCTGGCTTTGTCCCACTGCTCTCCTGCTCTGCGTTCCAAGGCAGCTACAGAGCATCCCTTGGACCCGGTGGAGTGATGGGAGGGTTTTGCAGCCAACTCATTCTTTTCAGAAGTTGTGCTAAGCAGAATTAATTGGCCTTGCGGTTGTTTCTCTTAAAGTCTTCTGGGTATTTCCTGATACTGGAAGCTTTTGGGTGGTTGTTGTGGATGGATTTTCTATGTTCTTTGCATCGACTTTTTAAAAGGCTATCAGGTACCTTCCTGATAGTGAGAACTACTGGGGTGTGAAATGACTTCCCAGGAGAACTGAGAGAAAGCTTTAGTATCTGAGATGTTTAAAATATGACTGAATTTAAGACTAGAGGATAATAATTTTCCATTAGCAAGAAAATGGGTGATCTAAAATCAGTAATTCCAGCTCCTATGCAATTCATAGGGTGGCACAGGAAGTTCTGGTAAAATGTTCTGCAAAAAAAAGGTGGGAGCTGCATTTTTTGCTGGTGGTTGTCAAAGGTAAGTTTTAGGTACAAATACATGCACAACACCTTCATCAGGCTTTATTTGAGAAACACTGCTACCCAAAGCTGCATTTAAAGATCCAAACAGCCTTGTTCAGCCTGCCAAATACTTGTGATACTGTTAGGACTCAGTGTGCTAGGCACTAATAAGGAGTATTATAAAGAGAAAGCAGTGAGAATAAGGCATGAGGATGGTTGTAGCATAGTCCTTTCAAGCCTTTGTTATTACAGGTAGTACATAGGTTCCCTGCCTCTGGTTTCACTGAAGGACCAACCTTGGGAGCAGAAGTGCAACTGATGTCATCTAAACTGAGACTTCACACAGTGTCAAAAATTTTAAGGCATTAAAACCAAATATTTCATTTTCTTGAGTTGTTCCAGCCCTGAATAGACCCTAGTTTTCTCTGCATTTAAAGTGTTTACTCTGGACAAATGGCCTGCACTGCCCATCTGTATCACTCCTTAAACAGCCAGAGGATGCTGAATCAGAGAAAGCGAAGTGTCCTTCCTCTGCTTCAAAACAGACACAGCGAGACATTTGCTCTGATAAAAATATCAGCACAAATCTGGTCCCTACCCAGGCCAGGCATGGGTTTATGGAAACACAAGATATCAGCTCTGCAGCGTGCTTTGTTGGTATATTCAGCCTTCTCTCTATGCCAAGATATAAAGTTGCTGGATCAAAGTGGAGCTGGGCCAGAGTCCAAAATTCTCCAAACTAACTGGAGGGGAACTTGGATCCATATCCCAGCTCTGGGACTTGGCTTTGCCTCTAAATCAAGCTCTTCTAATCTCTTAGGAAAAGTCAGACCAGTGAATTATCCACTAAGTCAGAGAAGGGCGGCCAAAGCTGTCTGCTTCTGAACATATTTGTGCTGCCTGCCCTGCACCGCCAGTAAAGAAATTTAGGTGGAGCCTTCCATTAATCCTGGAACACTGATCTTAGTCTCTAGTTTGGAAAGAAGCCATTCATCCTTAATCTGCTATTTTAACATCAAAATAATTTTTCTTCTTCCTTTTCTCCAATTAGATCTGTGAATTGAGACACCAGGAAGGTAGCAAGCATCTCCAACAGGCTTTGCTAGGAACCTTGCTGTACCTTACGGCACTGCTCAGGGGCAAGGCAGAGATGGTTTTGCACATTCTCTAGGGTGAGCCTCTGCACTACCAGCTGCTCTAATGCAACTGTTTCCCTGTCAGCCTGGATGTGCCACCACTGAACTGATAGCAAGTGCTATGGGTGATCGCCCAGCACTTGCCTGCCATGGTGGTGCAAGGGTTTGAGGTCAAATTTTCCCATTTCATTTTCCCATGAACAGGAAACCATGTTCACCCTGAGAGTGACAAATGGATGTAAAAAGCAGACTGCAATTAGGAAATGAGCTATGGGATGGATGAAGGTAGTGTGCCCCAGGGATCAATAGAGCTGGTTTGTGTTTAGATTGAGGTCTCTTTCAGACTTGTCTTCTGTGACCCCAAATCATCATCCTCTGCCACCTTATTTCTCTATTATTACTTGTTACAGTAATGACAAAATATCTTATTATTGCTGCTACCATCAATAATAGCAGCAGTTTATCAGCAGTGTTTATTAAGTTAAATTCCATGCCAACATATATCTTCCCCTCCCAACAATTTATAGATGATTTAAGATGTTAGTAGAGGAGACAGAGAAAAATATATGTCATTTTAGTGTATTTCAGTAGTTCCATTGATTTGTTTCAAATTAAGTAATTTCAAAGAGCTTTAAAGTTTGTATTCATAAGCTAAGCCTTTTTTTTCTGCTGCAGAAGCTAATTTTTGGTGTCTTTGCATTTTGTGTTTGTTCTGTCATGGTCTCTCTGTGTCCATCAGCTTCCCAGTGTTGCCAAGCCACCATCCTAAACATTTCACAACCTTTTCCTTTCCCCTTTTTTCCCCATTACTTAGATTGCTTTTGGAAGCAAATATTAAACATTGTTAAGAATCCTGAAATTAAAATATTCCTCAGTAAAGACCTACAGGCAACACCCACGTTGAGATTTTTTTTGTGTCCTGCTTTGAGGGACTATGGTTTCTGCCTATTTTTCCTGTTCATTGTGAAGTGTGTAAGTGCTGTGAGCAGCTTATGGCCCCAGTCACAGGCAAAACACCAGAGTCATATCACTTCCAAAATCCTTTTGTTTGCAGTAGAGGGAAAAAAAAAAAAAAAATCCTTACTTGATTTCTGTTTGTCCTCCTGCTTTTCGGGCAATTTGAATCAGCTCTTTCCCATATCTCTCTTCTGCTTGTGCTCTGTCAAAAGAGGAACTTATTCAAATTTCTCTTAGGATCAAGTTTGTAACTGCATCTTGCAATTGCATCTGAAGTACAAAACATGACAAATATAATTTCTTTAATTTTCCTATCTCTTCAGTCCTAGTGCTATTAGTTACCTCTGAAATATCTCAGGTGAGCTATTTCTAGAGGAAATGAAAAATGATGCCCATCTTCATGGCTTTGATGACTGTGGAGTGCTATGTACAAGCCTGTCCCCCAAAAGCTGGGATCAGTTAGAAGGAGAGGTGTACAGAATTGTAGTGAAGATGCTCAGAACAGAGAGTCTTTTTGCAAAAGAGACCTAAACAACACTGGCTTGCTTGACCCATCAAAATGAAGGCTGGGAGGGGAGTGAAGAGTAGGTTCAAAGGATCCATTCAAGAGAGATGGTGAATAAATGAGAGGCAGGAGTAGCAGGAAGATTTCTTACCATTAGGAACACGAGGTGCTGCTTGAACAGCTGCAGTGGAACCAGAAGGGGAAGGAGCCTTGCTAGTGGTAAAGTGAGGCTGTCACAGTTTCATGGAGAGGTCAATACAATGTGAAGTGAGAACTTTAACTAGTGACTTAGGAAAGTAGTTGTCTTATTGTGGTTATCAAAGAAATACAATTATTTCTTTGCTGTTTTCCCCTCCCCTAGCTCAGGAAGAAATTTCTGATATCTGGTATTTTTTAAAGAAATAATAATTTTTTTGTACTAAATATGTTACTTCCTTTCTCCTGCGCACAAGACCAGCGTGGAGATGAGTTTTCAGTCTTTGAGTAGCTGCTAAAAACTGTTGAATGGTCAAAAATAAATTAATGAACAGAGAGTCTGGTGATAGGATTTTAGGGGAAATTTTCTTTTGGGTGGGTCCAGTTCTCAAATGGCTTTCAAAGCATTTCAACAATTTTGAGCCTGAAACTTGGCATTTAGAGAAACATACTCTTTGCTCAAAAAAGGAATTTTTATGTGGGTCTGAGGCCATGCAACCTGGCAGGTTTGCCCATCCATCCATCCACCTCCCCGCTCAGTCACACTGTGCTTTATTATTGCATTTTGCTGAGTTCCAGTGTTTTGAGGGCTTGTCTTTCAGTTTTGCAGCATGGCAGCTGTTGAGGTGGGTCTCGAAGAACATCCCACCACCTTTTCAACTGTTCCTCTGTATCTTGGTGTCAGTGAGCACCTTGCCTTGTAGCCAGCCATACCAACAGCTCTGGTGCAGTTTCATTGGTTTGCAACCATCTTCTGTGCTCTGAGACAGGTTTCGGGACTTAGGGGAGCTGCTGCAGGAGCCCTTGCAGTGCAGAACCTTCCTGAAGCCAGCAATGTAATTGTGATCTCTGTAAGTTATGAGTCACAAAGGATGTACTATAAACAGTTGAAGCTGTTACCATCAGAGAGATGGGACTTCAGGACTGTGTCACATGGAGGCAATAAAATATGCTTCTGCTGGTAGTCAAGAAAAGCAATTCAAAATTTGCACTCTGTGAAATAGTCAGCTTTCAGTTTGACAGCTCACATCCCCTTGAAAGCCCCAGTGCTTGAAAAGTAGCCTTCAGAAAACCAACCAAAATCCAGAAAACTAGGTAGGGACAGCATGGGAAGAAAAAGCAGGCTGTGACTGAGGAAGGCAGAGCAACATTCACAAGGAGGTAGTTCTGAGTAGAACTGCTCTAGGATTACCTGCTGAATACATCATCTGTACTGCATGGGTTTCCTACAGGTCACTCATGAGCATCTATGTGCCTCACATTACATGTTGAAACTGTTGAAACCCAGCCACTTAAAAACAGAACCAAATTTCAGATATATTTTTTGAAGTCAGAAGTACAAAAATGAATGGCAAAGAAGTCAGAGCATCTGTGTAGTGTGCATTTTCTCACCCACAAAAGTGTCAGCTGTCCGTAGCTGTTGTTGAGCAGTGTCCAAGAGGCATGTAAAAGACAGACATAAACTACAAAGTTGTTGTTCAGAGTCGGGTAAGGCTGGCAAGCGATGTGGGCCTTCTTGGTTTTCTGGGAAAGGCTTTTGGTAGCAGCTTATGTAGCTTTGTATATATTTGAAAATGGGTGGTTTTGGTAGTCGCAGGAAACTGAAACTGTCTGTGGCGAAAGCCATTCAAAGAGAAAGAAAAACGTGCAAGTCATTTGCTCCCTGTAAGAGGGGAAATTCAGTAACACTGCTTGTGGAAATATGTATGTGCTGCCATCTGATTCTGGACCAATAATAACCTCAGTCCTAATGGAGCTCTGGATTTCTGATTTTTTCAACCTTCTGTTCTCAAATCTCAACTTTCTATCTGTTTTCTACCTTCACAAATCACATCAAATGGCTATGAGTCAAGCCACTCAGGCTACTCTGTATAAACTAGTGTCACTACCAAATTTAGAAGCAGTCTCCTATTCCTTTCCAGAGGCCAAACAGGAGAGAAAATGGAGGCTGTTCACACATTTTTCACTCTCATTTTCTTACCTCTGTTTGAGCAAATCCTCCACATCTTTACACATCTTCCTCCCATCCAACAGCCGCTGTATGAGCGCCTCATAGCCTGTGTGGAAGGTGAACTCCTTGCACTGAAGACAGAAAGATAAAGAATTGAGCAGATTAGTGCACATAGTTCACAGGTTTACCAGATGCCTGCTGTCAGTCATAAGGAGCAGATTAATTTCTTCGAAATTCCAAGTGGAACTTTAGATTTGCCCAGAGCAATGGCAGCTCGGGCAGGGCTAAGGGTGTAGGTATGGGTGAGGTCTCTCCAAAGAGAAAATCTGTACAAGTTTTTATGAAATCAAGTTTGGTGTTAAGTACTAAAAAAGCAAAGTGGGTCATAGATTTTGTTGTGTGGAAAGCAGCACTAGCTGTATTTTTGGGGAAGTCGCTTTTAGCACTGCGTGTGGGATCTTTGCAGAGCACAGACCTATAGTAGCTCCTAAGGACAGCAGCTCTTCTCACCATACGTTTTCTAAAAAGAGTGATCAGAGTTAACTCACTGCCAAAGGCCTCTCAGTAAGACAGTGACCCACTGGCTAGATGTGAGTGGCAAAGTGAAGGCATCTTGTGCTCCCATGAGTATTAATACACAGGGTACTTGTTCTGCCACCCAGCCAGTGGTGGGGTCCTTTAATGGGAGGATTCCTAGCCAAGGGAGACAGTTTGCCATTAGACAACAGTTGGGTTCTGGTGTGCTATTATGTCTCCCTTTGGGATTGCTGTAACAGCTCTTCTCATCGCTTGAATTAGTCTGTCTCTGGGGCAAAGTCAACATGACAGAATTAAAAAACACAAAACAAACAAACAAAAAACCCCAGAAGATAGGCATGTGGAGAGCTTAAAGATGTGGACGTTGGGTCTGCAGGAAATTGAAAGCTTGTGTGTTTCTGAGCTGCTTGCCAGTGAGTGCTGCTTCCCTCCCATCTGCACCCGCCATACGTCAGGCTTATCCCAGCCCACATGTTCCATCGGACCATGCTCTGTGCATCTCAGACAAAAAATATCTGAGTAAATAGAAGAAAAACAATCAGTCTTGCAGTTCTTTCATCTTTTCTCCAGCTTCCAGATCACAGTGCAGCAATAGTGAATCAGAGTCACAGTGAAGTCAGTGTGGCTGAGGATATTCTGGGAGCCCAGAAAGGGAAGGGATAAAGTTGTGACATGCTCCGAGTGTGACACGGGGAGAGGATTTCTGTGTTCTACCCCTGGTCATCCCACTGACTGACAACAGGATCAGGACAAGCTGTCTTTACTCTGAGAGCCTCAATTAACCACTATATAGTGATAATGTGAACATTATCTGAGTGATATTTTGTACTATTATGGTAAAATCACAGGCTGTGTAACCCTAAAGAGGACAAGTATGTTCCTTCAAGCAGTTCTTTTACAATACAATTGCTTATATACAAACTGAATAGTTGATACATCTATCCACTGTCCCCTAAGCATTTATCGTTTAATAAATGTGTTTACACCAAGCGCAAACAGCCAGTTTACTCAACAGTTTTGCTTTCTGTCTGTTGCTTACTAGCACAACTAAGACCTGAACTTGTTAAAAATGGAGCCACTGCCGCTGGAGTCTGAAGGACAGCTGGAATCTCTTCTGATGGAGGCATCAGTTCCTGCCTGCTAGATCCTTCTGAGTTTTGTCCCTGTGGCTGACTTTAGAGGGATTTGGCTCCAGCTTAATGCAGGTCTAAAAAGGGCTTCCTACCACAGGCACTCATTTAATCTTTCTTCATTCTGGGGGGTTCCATGTCAAAATTTACTTTGTTTTCCTTGCTATGTGTTCCTGAAGAATGTGGAAGCTGTATTTCAGGAGTCACACCACCTGAAATCTAAACCATGGCCGCCTTGGCCTTCCAGGCAGCAGATCTGGCTATGGTCTAAATAGCATGTGCCACTAGCATGTCACAGGCTGCAGCGAAGAGGGATAGGAAACATAGCTCATGTTTAGACAGGTTGAAGCTGCTGTGATTGCTCACCCTGCACCATTGCTTTTTAATTTCCTCCCACAACTTAGCTATAAATCATGTAGGCCTAAGTTTACTTACACAGACCTGTCCCTTTAATTTCAACAGCTCTTTTTTCTTCTTTCATGTGTTGTACAGCTGCATCGCCTCTCAACCTCTTGAATCCAATCAATCCTCCTTTCCCCTCTGCTGAGATAGTGTGTTTTCATTCCATCGATTCCTGTGTGTTCTTATAGTACCTGTTCAAAGCTGAATAAATCTCTGTCGAATGAGGATGATGCTCTACTACTCCAGCAGAGACTAATTGATGCCTTGTACCACAGCATTAATGTCTGCTCTCTGAGAAACACTTCTGGTACATCAGAGGATCGTATTTACCTTCTTCCACTATCAAATCGTACCAGTGGCACCTAACTGAGCTACAATCTATTGATATACCTGCTATTTTCTCCTCTCCTGCAATTTTACTTAATGAGGTCCCAGACTGTATTGCACCTTTTTCCTACTGATCTCTTAGTCTCATTTTGCACTCTAAAACTTTAATTTTATCTGTTTTCTGTTACCCGGGCTTGAAGGTTATTGGATAACTCCTATGCAATATTTCATTCTACCTCTTTGTTTCAACAACAGCTATTTCCAGCCTATTCTTAATGTCTTATGCCATTACCTCCAATGAATATATGGAATAAAATTAATCCTGAGACCATCTCTTGAGACACAAGCCACAAGCATCTCCCCCAGAACAGTGTCTTTGCCCACTTTCTTCTTCTTTGTTCCCAGTCTCTGTGTTCAGTTCTTTTTTTCTTCTGTTTTTCTTCTCTAGTTCAAGGATTTCCTGTGTAGCACTGTAACTTTCTTTAAGACAATCAAGACAGCAAGATTATGTCACATTAAACAATTATCTAGCCTTGATAAGCTGCCTTGCCTTTATTCTATTTTCCATTGACCATTAATAACACATTTTGTGTTATAATTAGCATTCACATTGAATGGTTCTGCAAAGGCTGTTGAAATCAAACTACTCAGCTCAGTGCTTGGGTACCTCTCAGCTGGGACTTTGATTATAAGAACAAATGGTTAGTCAAAGAACTATTTTATTTGTAAAAGAAATTATTAAAAATGCTTTAATTAGATAATATATTCATTAAATGTGTAAAACAATTTCTTTACAACAAAATCTAGGTATTTACTTGGATAGAGGGTGATTTGAACCGTCATCAGTAATTTGTCTCATTGCCAAAAAAGTCAAAGTGTGTGCAGCTCTGATAGAGGATTTACTCATTGTTCTTTTAGTAAGAAAAGATTAGTTACTCTGCACTGTCCAACAGACCTATGATCACTAACAAGAATGTGCTTGACAAAGGGGTTTCAGTGCTGCAGGCAGATTCATGTTGTCCTGGGATTCTTCCATTAATCCTTCACACAAACATTGGTCTCTGCCCCAGAACTGGGGGTTTTCTTCTCGTGGGGAAAATCACAGCTAACGGGGAGGCAGCATCTACTCCTCTTCCCATTTACAGATGCTGCTTCCCTCCAGAGCAATAAGCAACACTGTTCCTTCAGAGATAAAAGAAATCTGAAAGGGAGCGTATGACTGAAAAACACAAACTGTATGCTCTAGTTTAACCAGAATAGCTTTTCCTGGAGTTCTTGAAAGGAGGCATGGAAGAGTGCAAGCAGAGGTGTTGACAGTAAGCACACTGGCATATGCTTTCTTCTTTCCACTTCTTCTTTCCTCTGATGCTTAACGATGCTGCTCCCTCACAGTCACACTTTTCTAAATAGACATGTGCCTTGGGACTGCACCACCCCATCTGGCAGAAGTTTCTCCACAGGCAATCACATAGGTAAACATCAGGAGTTAATTGTGGGAGAGACTGTTCACGACTGGCTCTGAGCTATTTCTGCAGCCATGAGAGAGAGGCTCTGAGGATTTGGGTTTGATAAAAGAGGCCGCAAGCAGGAAGATTGATGGTGTCAGTTCCCTGCCCAGAGAGTAGAAAGCTCGGTACAAAGATAGCTGTGGAGTGGCATAGTTTCTTTCTACCTCCTGGTGACAAAAAGCGGAGTAACCTTGTGCTAAGTCTTGTGCCTTATACTAGCTGAGAATCAGCCTTGCAGCACGTCTTCTCTGAGCCTTGTGCTCTGAGGCTGCTGCAAGGCTGTTTGAAGGGCAAGCCTCTATGTTTTGAAGTTACCATGATACTGTTGCAACAATATCAAGTAGGAAAGACTAAAAAGATGCACTCGTTACTGCAATGCGGTTTTGATAAAAAACTGTTAAAATGGACTGAACTGAAACAAAAATATCCAGGCTTGCATACAAAGTGCCCACTAAATTGTGTGCCCTTGCATGTCCAACTGCTAATAATCAGAAAGTGAGGCAAGTTGTTTGGGTCATTGTGGTTGTGCTGTAAGAGCTGCAGGCTCTTCTGGTGTGGCTGCATTTCTTGGAGCATTTCTAACACCATCCTGGGACTTGGCTTGCCCATCGAGAACTTTTTTTAGAGGTAGCTGACATAGCACAATTCATACATCGACCCTGTCCAGCAGGATAAGCTGGCTTAGCATCTCCCTCAGGGGAGTGCTTTGGAGCTGAAGACATGCCTAGTGATTGGTAGGTGCCACTGCAGCTCCACCTCAGCTTGCTGTATTGCTCATGGGGGCTGCTGTTCTGGCTGTTGGCAAAAAAAAAAAAAAAAAAAAAAAAAAAAAACGGGTTTCTTGGGTGTGGGCAAAAAAAAAAAAAAAAAAAAAAAAAAAAGGCTTCTTCCTAGCATCTCCAGCTGCAGAACCTGCTTGGTTCCTGTTTGCAAGTAACTAGATCCTAGGTGGTACACAGGGAGAGTAACCCCCAGAACACAAAACAAAACCTTAAGATTCATTTTTCCAGGTTCAAAAAAGAAATAACTACTGAGGAAGAAGTTTAGAGAGAACAGGGGATGAGGTGTTTTGAATAAGCACATCATTCTGTCAATATCCTTTTCAACTGTCAGAAAGAAATCCTTTCTACCCACGGTTGTATCACACATGATATCTCAGTCCTGAACTGAAATTAAGTTGTTCTGACTGAGTTACATCGATGAATTATATCATGGCACTGTACCACTGTGTACTGGCGCTGCTTAAAAGGAGGGTTTCTTCATATTTAT